CTACGATACTCATTGCCAAAGTCTTGGTCATAATAAAGGTGATGGTGAATATTAATATTTAATGAATAAAAGAACAGCAATCCTGATGTTAGACAACATAAAGACAGCTTATCATTTTGTGTGAAACAACACCCAGATTCTGAGGAACAACAGGAGAAGGAAAACAACGCTGCACATAAGTATCCAGAAAAACCTCATGATTTTTCATTCATGAGAAGACCCCACACTACCACACCTTCTCTTATAGTACATTCTCAACATTCACAGTTTTCAGATAAATCTGATATGAACAACTTGGCCATTTACATGGCACATCGTGAGCTCTTATCTTCGGGGATGACCAAGTTTGATGATCATTCTAAAAATTATAGAAGTTGGAAATCAACTTTTAAGAATGTCATACAAGGACTGAATCTCACAAGCCATGAAGAACTTGACCTGTTAATAAGAGGGTTGGGGCCACAGTCATCACAACAGGTGAAAACGATCAAAGCCGTACACGTCAGTGACCCTTCTGCTGGGCTCAGAATGGCATGGATGCATTTGGAAGAATGTTATGGGACATCCGAAATGATTGAAAATGCTCTTTTGGACAAATTAGAGAAGTTTCCCAAGATTGGTAARAGAGACTCTATTAAGTTAAGAGAACTTGGTGATATTTTGAGAGAATTAGAGTCTACAAAATTAGAAGGTTTTCTACCGGGACTTTCCTTCTTAGATACATCTCGGGGTATTAACCCAATAGTGGAGAAACTGCCATATGGCCTTCAGGAGAAGTGGATGACTCAAGGTAGTTTGTACAAAATGCAAAACCTAGTCCAGTTTCCTCCATTTTCATTTTTCACTGACTTTGTCTGTAGAGAGGCATACATTCGTAATGATCCAAGTTTTGCACTGAACACAGCGACCATGAATGCAACAAAGTCTGCCAACCCTGCAAGGAGTTATCTTCATTCTAAAGGTCATGTATCCTCTCATAAGACATCCATCACATCAACACCTGCTACTAAGTCTACAGAAGTCAACAGCAGTCGGTCAGACATGGACAAGCAGTGCCCTATCCAKAGGAAGCCACATCCTCTTGGACGATGTAGAACCTTTCGGGCTAAAACACTAGAGGAACGRAAAATATTTCTTAAGGACAGTGGGATTTGTTTTAAATGCTGCTCTTCAACTGATCATGTGGCWAAAGACTGCAGCATAGTTGCACGGTGCAAAGAATGTGACAGCAACAAACATGTCACAGCTCTTCATCCAGGACCAGCTCCATGGAATGCTAAGAGCTCTGAGTTAGAGCATGGCGGGGAGAGAAGTGTGGAAGACTCCACTGATATTATCTTGAAATGCACTGAAGTTTGTGGTGATACTAATACTTCTCGCTCCTGCTCTAAAATCTGTCTCATAAAAGTGCATCCAAAAGGACAACCAGAAATATCTATCAAAGCCCACGTAGTGCTAGATGACCAGAGCAACCGATCACTGGCTCGACCAGAGTTCTTTGACTTGTTTAATCTTGAGGGCATGGATTCTCCTTATATTCTTRGGACATGTGCGGGAGTTACAGAGATGTCAGGAAGAAGAGGAACCGGATTTGTTGCTCAGACCTTGGATGGAAGTTTTAATGTGCATCTACCTACCCTTATAGAGTGCACTCATATGCCAGATGACAGGTCTGAGATACCTACTCCTGAGGTRACAAAACACCACCCTCACCTTGAGTCTACTGCTCATCTCATTCCTGAGCTAGATCCTAATGCTCAGATCCTCCTTCTTCTTGGGCGAGACATCTTGCAGGTACATAAGGTGAGGGAGCAACGCAATGGTCCGAACAATGCTCCCTACGCTCAACGGCTCGACTTWGGYTGGGTTGTAGTTGGAGATMTCTGTTTAGGTGCAGCTCACAAGCCAAAGGAYGTCATTACYTACAAGACTTARATTCTGCAAAACGGCRGTCACTCTCACTTTAKCCKTTGTCCTAATCATATTTCCATAAAGGAAAAACTTGCCAAAAATAAAACAGAAAAATCTCCAAGTTCTCCAAGGCAGCAATGCATTCAACTATTCAGCGAGCCAATTCAAACTGACTGCGACAGTTCACTGGGTAATAAGATCTTTGAGAGGACAGATGACGACCACAAGGTTGCTCCATKTATTGAAGATAGACAGTTTATCAATCTAATGGACAAAGAAATGTTTTTGGATGATYCCAATAACTGGGTAGCTCCCCTTCCCTTTCGTGTACCAAGACCACGCCTGCCTAGCAARAGGGAGCAAGCTCTTATCCGATTCACCAACCTATGTCGAACTCTGCAAAAGAAGCCAGAGATGAAGAGTCACTTTCTGTCTTTCATGCAAAAAATCTTTGACAGAGACCATGCTGAACTGGCTCCTCCTTTGCTTGATGGTGAAGAATGTTGGTATCTTGCCAGTTTTGGTGTCTATCATCCACGCGAGCCGGGTCAAATATGTGTAGTATTTGACTCCAGCGCAGCACATCTTGGCATCTCATTGAATGATGTGCTATTGACAGGACCAGACCTAAACAACAGCTTGCTTGGCATGTTGATGCGGTTTAGATGTGAACAAGTAGCTTTCATGACAGACATTGAGCAAATGTTCCATAGCTTCGTGGTTAGGGAGGATCACAGAAACTTCCTCAGATTCTTTTGGTTTAAAGACAACGACATGACCAATGAAACTGTGGAGTATCGCATGAAAGTTCATGTTTTTGGGAATCATCCATCTCCAACCATTGATATCTATGGGTTGCAGAGAGCAGCACTACATGGAGAAAAGGAGTTTGGCATTGAAGTAAAGCAGTTCATACACAGAGATTTTTWTGTTGATGATGGACTCAAGTCAATGGCTTCCGCAGCCCCAGCAATTCAGCTATTGAAGTCAGCTCAAGAGATGCTTGCTATCTCCAATCTAAGACTGCACAAAATAGCATCGAACTCTCCAGTGTTAATGCAGGCCTTTCCATCKACAGACCATGCAAGCGACTTAAAGGACCTCAACCTTGATGTTGACTCACTTCCTGTTCAGCGCAGCCTTGGTTTAAACTGGGATCTTAAGAATGACAGTTTCACTTTCACGGTAGCCAGAAGCAAGAAACCATTTACCCGAAGAGGTATGCTTTCAACCATCAACAGTCTATTTGATCCACTTGGCCTTGTAGCCCCCATTACTATTGAAGGGAAATTCCTATTGAGGCAGCTCACCAGTGATGGTTACACTTGYGACGAACCCCTTCCTCCAGAGAAAGAGACAGAGTGGATTGCATGGCAAGAGTCTCTACAAGACTTAGAAAASTTTCAAACTGGAAGAGTTTACACTGCAACCCCTTTCTCTTCTGCACAACGCAAAMAAATACATATTTTCTCTGATGCCTCCACAAAGGCCATTGCAGCTGTAGCCTACCTTAAGCTAGTTGACACAGAAGAGAAGTGCCATGTTGGTTTCATCATGGGGAAGGCCAAGCTGGCTCCAGTAACTGGCCATACAGTTCCCAGGCTTGAGTTGGGAGCCGCTGTCTTGGCAGTAGAAATAGCAGAACTAGTTGTGAGTGAACTAGACATCACCCCTGACTGCTTTATGTTTCATACAGATAGTAAAGTAGTGTTGGGGTACATTTATAATGAAACCAGGAGGTTTTATGTATACGTCAGCAACAGGGTTGAACTTATTAGAAGGTCCACGCTTCCTGAACAGTGGAAATATGTCCACACCAGTCAAAATCCTGCTGATGTAGCTACTAGATCAGTTCCTGCAAGACAGCTTTTAGCGACCAACTGGCTTACCGGCCCAGCCTTCCTAACACATTCTGGGGACACAGATCTGATTGAGGAAACATAATACAGCCTTGTAGAGCCAGATTCTGATGCCGAGGTTCGGTGTCACACGACTACAGTCTCAGTTTCTCATGGAGGTCTCGGTTCTCATCGCTTTGAACGATTCTCCATGTGGCTAACCCTTATCAGAGCTTTAGCAAATCTCATACATGTGGCCCAGACCTTTAAGTCAAGAAAGGCTGGCATGAAAACYGATTGTAATGGCTGGCATCACTGTGTTAAGTCTTATACAGCAGAAACACTACTAAAAGCAAAGACTGTCATTCTCAGGTGTGTGCAAAGGGAAGCATACCAAAGAGATGTCTTTTCTTTGGTGAAAGACAAGGATGTTCCTCACACCAGTACTTTGAAGAAGCTCAACCCTGTTCTTGATGACAACGGGCTTTTGAGAATAGGTGGACGACTCCAGCATGCACCTTTGGAAATGGAAGAAAAGCATCCTGTCATTGTTCCTAGATGCAGCCATGTTTCCACACTACTTATCAGGTACTATCATGAAAAAGTTGAACATCAAGGCAGAGTCTTCACRGAGGGAGCTCTTCGTACTGATGGTTTCTGGATTGTAGGTGCAAAGAAATCCATTTCTAGTAATCTACGTAAGTGTGTCACATGCAACAAGCTGTGAGGTAGACCTGCAGAACAGAAGATGGCAGATCTTCCACCAGACAGAGTCTGTACTGAACCCCCCTTTACAAACGTGGGTCTAGATGTGTTTGGTCCATGGACTATCTCCACATGCCGCACCCGGGGAGGTGCAGTACACAGCAAAAGATGGGCTGTGCTATTCACATGCCTAAGTGTTCGTGCAGTGCATATTGAACTTATAGAGTCAATGGATACATCGTTTCGTCAATGCTCTGCTACGCTTCTTTGCCATTCGAGGAACTGTAAAGGTGATCCGCTCAGACTGTGGGACAAACTTCAAGGGAGCCTGCAAGGAACTACAAATGCTATCACAAGAAGGGTCTAGTGTCACTAGGTATCTTAATGGAAAAGGATGCACATGGTTGTTTAACCCACCACACTCTTCTCACATGGGAAGAGTGTGGGAAAGAAAGATTGGGGTTTCCAGACGAATCTTGGACTCCATGCTTTCTCAGATCAGTCCTTCATGTCTCTCTCATGAAGTCCTTTCCACACTTATGGCTGAAGTTTCTGCTATAATAAATGCAAGACCCCTAACCCCAATCTCAACTGATGCAGAATCAGCTTGCCTTCTAACGCCAGCTATGATTCTAAKCCAGAAACTRTGTARGCCATTTCCTCCTCCGGGAACRTTRGAGACTGCAGATCTCTATCGGCAACAATGGAGACGAGTCCAGCACTTGGCCAATGTCTTTTGGACTAGATGGCGTAGAGAATATCTCTCAACTCTGCAAAGCAGAAGCAAATGGCAAAACAGTCAGCCAAACATCAAGGAAGGAGATGTGGTGCTACTTAAAGACGCTCAAGCCAAAAGGAACCAGTGGCCRATGGCTGTTGTCACCAAAGCTTTACAAAACAGCGATGGGAAGGTCAGAAGACTGGAGCTAAAGGTCAKCAAGGGGGGAACTGCCAAGTTTTTTCTTAGGCCAGTGACTGAAGTTGTATTACTTCTGTGTGCCTGAGTGTTTACTGTGTTATGTTGTAATTTTGAAGATAGTCTGTTTGGTTATAATCGTTTTGGTTAAGTTTTGATAGTGGTCTTGTGTCCAATACCAGACGGGGAGTGTCATGTAACCAAATCACTGCAGTCGTAACCAAATTGATGCAGTTTCTAAACCTGCCACTAGGAGCACTATAATGTTTGGGTTACATTATATCATTTCCTGTCAAGGGTGTTGTCATCACATGGAGGCCAGCGATTTTGTTTGTGAAAAACATGCATAGAAAGACTGAGTAAAATCTATTTGCATCCATCTATGTTGGGACATGGAGAAGCTTTGTTTGAGTAAGTTTTATGCATGATAATTTTAGTTTCATTCTGCCATGTGTAGCTTAGTTAACAATGGTATAATGCAGAATAATTGCACAATAGGTTAATTTTTATGTTTTTATTTACAGTTTCACAGTATGTTCTGGAAACATCGTAAGAAAGCAAGTCAATGAAGATGAAGACAAACAAGTAAACCGCTCTCAATTTTACTTCCACGTCTGGGTCATCATTCAGCTCTTTCAAGATTCAGGACATCTGTTTAGCTATCTGTCACTACGTGTAGCTCTACAAGTATGAGGACAGAATAATTATTGACCCGAAGGGTAGATATATAATATTAAATTTTTCTCTTCTTAGCCAAAAATACTGTATAGCAAGCATATATGGTCCAAAGTGGATGATACCTCATTTTTTCATGATTTCTTTTCTGTTCTATCAAATCACCTGGAAAGCTCACTGCTTCTTGGAGGCGATTTCAACTTTGGTCTATATAATAACATTGATAGGATGAATACGGCCGGAGCTCAGCGCAGTTGGCAATCCACAAACATAGTTAAACAATATATGAGTGATTATGGACTTTGCGATGCATGGCGTGCTCTTCACCCTGACAATAAAGAATGTGCATTCTTCTTACATGTTCATCACTCTTATTTTCGCCTAGACTAATTTTTAGTCAGCAGTTCATTGCTGACCAATATTTTAGACAGTGAGATACATCCTATTGCTGTCAGTGATCATGCACCAGTCTATTTAACCTTAGTTAATAAGAAAGAAATAAAAACAAACATAAATTGGAGATTTAATACATCATTGCTCAATGATGAACAGTTTTAAAAATATTTTAAAGAGGAATGGACATCATATGTAGAGTATAATGACTTATCAGGAACATCAGCATCTACTCTCTGGGAGGCAGGGAAAACAGTTATGAGAGGCAAGATAATATCATAAACAACAAATAAAAAGCAAAAAGAAATTGAACATATTCAGGAACTAGAGGAAGCCATCAAATTGTTAGGAACTTTGCAAGGTGAAGAAATACAGCAAAGAATGCGGAAGGCAAAATTAGAGTTAAATGAATATATAGACAAAAAACAAATTCTTGATACGACTTTGATTAGAAAATTTTGAACTTAGTAATAAATCAGGAAGTTTTTTTAGCTAACCAGCTTAAAATAAATAAAGAAAAACAACTATATCTGGTAGTAAAAACAAAACTGGGAATATAGTTTTCGATCAGGGAGAAGTAAATAATGTTTTCATAGATTTCTATCGAGTTTTATACACTCCGCAGATAAACCCTTCAGATAAGGATATTGAACAATTTTTGGAAAAAGTGTCACTTGCAAAATTATCCAGTAAACCAGTCTTTAGAACTAGACTCTCCAATAACATCAGCTGAATRYTGTGAAGCTGTTAAAAACATGCCGAACAAGAAAGCTCCAGGTCCGGACGAGTTCCCAGCAGAATTTTATAAAGAATTCTGGAATATTTGGAGAGGCGGGGCAAGATGGCGGAGGAGTGAGATGTGTGCCGCGTGGCTCCCGCTCCTATTTGTTCTGTTTGTGGTTCTATACTAAATTTCCTTGCTGTTTTGAACATTTGGTCCGTCCGGACTCGACCCCTGAGTGATTCTTGCCTGGAAGAATAGAAGAATGGTGACAAACTCGAGGAAAAGCAAACATTCTAGCTCGACGGCTGCTAGGCCTGACGCCGCCTTGGAGCTGACTACAGCTAAAGCCGGAGTTTCGGCGCCCTCCTCTCCCTCCCGCAGTGAGGCGGATGCACTCTCCTTGAGGTCTGACATTCTTGGCGCCATAAAAACCGATCTCTCAACTGTGATCAAATCCGAAATAAAAGTGGCTTTGGCTGAAGAGTTTACTCTTATTAAAGGGGAGCTGCAAGCGGTGAGAGCGGAGGTGGCTAACGGCACGATGCTACTGCTTGCAGATCTGGACCACGTGAAACAGAGCGTTAAAGAGGTGGAGGGCAGCTTGTCAACCTGGTCCGATGAGGTTGTTGCTTTGCGCACCATCGTGTTGGAACTGAAAGAAGAAGTCGTTGGGCTCAAAAAGAAGTGTGACGATATGGAAGGGCGCATGAGAAGGTGCAATGTGCGGATTATTGGAGTTCCDGAGACGCCAGAATCCAGCTCCACTTCAGCAGTGGCTAAACTGCTAGCAGAGGTTCTACAGATGGATAAAGAGCCACTGGTAGACCGAGCCCATCGCTCTCCAGGTGGAAACAGGTCAGGTGATAAGCCGCGGGTTATTGTTGCCAAGCTGCACTATTATCAAGAATCTGTGGAAGTACTGCTTCGGGCTCGGAGTCGTGGTCCTCTTCGTTTTAAAGAGACACCGATTATCATCACATCTGACTACACAGCAGCTGTGGCCAAGGCTCTAGTGGCGTTTACGGAGGTAAGGAGGCTTCTTCGCAACCGACGTGATGTTCGCTATGGCCTGCTTTTCCCTGCACGGCTCCGCATCTCTCATGGGGAGGAAAACAAGGAATTCCTGGATGCCAATAAAGTAATGGACTACGTTAAAAAGAGGATCATTTCGGCGACGGACAGTGAGGACCGGCCTTGACCGCAGGTCCAATCTTCATCGACCCATTATGACTGTCAGGTTGTAATGACCCTTTTAACTTTATGTCCCGCATTATATCTTGATTTAATTTTAGACATTATTCCGAGGGATGACATTCCTCTTTTTGTTCAATGTACGAGAGTTTCACAGGGGGTCTGTCCAGATCTTGGTTAGTGATTTATTTATCAGTGCTGCAAGGAGCATAAACAGTAACAGTAATAATACTTTAAAGTAAGGGAACCCCTTTTTTATATATTTTTTGTTATTGTTATTTAGTTGTGGCGGGAGTCCAGACGGAAGTAAGCCCCCCAGTATAAGCACAAATGTGTGGATTTTTTGTTTGTTGGGTTCTCAGTGTTCTTTTTTTTAGGAGAAAGGGGTGGGACTATACTGGATCTATTTGTTTTGAGAATGTCTTTTTCAGATTATTTTTTTGTGATGGTTTGTGGATATTGTACTACAGTCCGATTGACCATACATGAGCAGTTTTAATATTATTAGGTTCATCAACAGTCACCCAGTTAACTGTGTGAGTTGGAATGGGAAATCCCTCAATGGTCCAGTGAAATTTAGGAAAGTTAT